AAATGATCTTAAAAGTCTTCCTCTTTACAGTTTCTGATGAATTTTGAGTGATAGATTGAGACTTTTCGTATAGTCTTATTATATAAAAGTTGAAACTTTTCTTTGCCTTCTTAGTAGTTGCTTAACTCTGAGGAAACAGCTTCCTTGTTGTGTGTTTTATGGTCAAATTTAGTTTCAGTTTTACATTTCTAAGTTGGAGATAGTACCTTAAATCAAGCTCCTTATTATGATTCCTCTGTGTTATTGTAGGGTTTTTAAGGAGAAGGCAAAATGAGATTGGTCAAGTGTTGGTTTTGCTCTTCCACTATATATCCTGGACATGGTATTCAGTTTGTCCGCAACGATGCAAAGGTAATTAAACATGGCTTAAATCTTGAATTGACGAGAACGCGCCTGCTTGAAAATCACATTAGTAGTTTGTATGTTTTCATAAAGTCTTAGTATTCTCTTTTGGTTTAACGTTTTCGATCTTTTAAGTCGTGCTTTGGACACACAAATAAGCTCGAATCTTGTTGTATGGTTCTGTAGCTGAAGTTTCTAGTTTTAATGTGTATCTTTAGTTGGAATTCATCGATTTTTTCTGGAGAACTCAGTGTCTACTTTTACGGTTTGTTTGGTGTTTAGGATCTATGGCACTCTTGGATAGGAGTTTTGTATATAAGAGGTCTACAAGTATTATTGTATTTGCACTGCCTATGTTATTGATGAGGATATAATCAAGCATCCCATTGTTTTCATGATATCGTGCTTAAGCCTTGTTTCTTATGCATCTTGCATTCAGTTACAAGCATAACTTTCTTCTCATCTTGCAGATTTTCCGGTTCTGTAGGTCGAAATGCCACAAGAACTTTAAGATGAAGAGGAACCCGCGTAAAGTAAAATGGACTAAAGCATTCAGAGCTGCACACGGGAAGGACATGACTCAGGTACTTATACTAATTTGATCATGACTCTTTCAATAAAAGAAATTATAGTTCTAATGCTCACCGTCATTACGCTTGTCTTCTTTTGTGTTTCCTTTCGGCAAAAGGATAAAACGTTTGAGTTTGAGAAGAAGAGAAACAGACCCGAGAGATACGACAGGAACGTAACAGAGAATACCCTCATGGCCATTAAGAAGATTGATAAGATCAGAAGCGAAAGAAGTGCCAAACATATCGAAAAGAGGTATATATAAAATATCTCTTCCCTCTTCTTCCAGTCTCGTACAAATCCTTGAAAACATTGCTTGATTCTTGTGTGTGTTTTTGTGTGGGACTTAGGTTGAAGACAAACAAACCGAAGATTCACATAGAGGCAACGAAGGAGTTAAAGAATGACATTACATTGATCAAGGCACCACAAGCTCTCCTACAAGATCCAAAGAAGAAGATCAAAGTTGATGTTTCCAAAAGCAAGTCTGTGCAAAACGAAGCCATGGAAGAGTGATTATGTGGAAAACATTGTGATCCATTAAAAGCTACTCACTTACCCTAAAGCTTTTATCATCTTTAGTTTACTCTTAACATCTGTTTTTGGAGAGGACTTTAAAAAACGAAAAAACAAAAAAAAGTTTTGGTTTTTGTACTGATAAAAGGACTTAAGATTATTTTCATTTTGCAATGTATTATTATTACCTGATTGAAGGGAAACAAAGTTGAGACTAATATTGTGTCTTTGTCTTCTTTGGTGGCTTTTGGTTTTGATTTCATTTCAAAATAAGCTAAATTATAAATGCTTGTGCAATATATTATTTTATATCGAAAGCTGAGTTTATTTGCATGCATTTTGATTTTAGTTGTTTGAAGAATGCATTAATCTTCTTACGACAAAACACACGTGTTGCTTGTCAAAACCCAAAATTAGATTCGAGAGTGGAAATGTAAAGTTGGATGGTTTCAGAGTTTTGCTATGGAAGTCATCCTCATTTCTATTCATTTTCTTCACACTTTTTCTTGGAGTTTTACTCCCAAATTGTATATGTAGCTTATTGAGTTGTGAGGAATATACTAATTTACTTTTGTGTTTTGAATATGCTGCTTTTTACCAAAATTTGTTTTCCTCAGGTGCTCAAACATTTTTTCTTTATCTATGCTGTTGCAGAAAATGATCATTGATGTAAATTCTGCGAGAAACCTAATGATCCAAATAAGTGATTGTATGATCATGTGTGACAAATGTGGATCCACTCTTTATATCGATTGTGAACTTAACCTGGTTTATGACAACACACTATTTGTTGGATAGACAAATAACACAACATTTAGATGTATAGCTAGTCGATATTGTCCTTAGATTGTTAATTATTACTATATATGCATTTGTCTATTTGTCATATTATTTCATCCTTTTTAATGTCCCTATAAATTAAATGAATGAAAAAAAATAAAAGAGGTAATCATTGTTTTTTTTTATATATGTTTTCTATTATTCATTCGCACAACTCAAACGAATTTAGGTTAAGACCTCATGTCGGTGCTGATACAAATCATTTGATCAAAAACTTTAGTTTTTTAATGCCAGTGTCCAATTATGAATGATATCTTAACTGGACCCATTGTATACCCAAAGTCGTCGAGGGACCCATCATTAATTGGGAGACGGAGAATGCTCAACTAGCATGTGTGGGTCTTTTTTTAATTAAATCATCGCATCTAGATCTAGTCCATGCGTAGAACTCGAGATGAAATATAAAACTGTACACTATACCCTATAATAGTATATGAAAAGTTGTCGTTGTCATGTTGACGTTTTGTCTTCACAGGCCCAAGCCCATTAAAGGCTGCGCAGCTAAGTTCGGTTTGGGCTCACATCAAGAGAAGAGAGAAATTCGCGTTGGGCCGGTTTCTACATCAAGGCCCAAGTTAAGCAGATAAGATTTATCTGTTTTTAATATGTTACAAGGGAGCATGAAGAATCGAAGGCAATATACAGGTGGAGGCTTCTTCTTCCTCTAGTATTCTTGTAACRTTGTATTCTCTCTCTAAAATCTCTGGAAAAGCTCTCTCTCTCTCTCATCAGAACGACTTGACGCCATTGTTATAAGGCTCAAGCTCCGTAAAACCCTTTGTATCTTTTCCGATCTAGTGGATGTTGTGGACTACCGTCGTCTACCTGAGATGTACCTGTGGAAGGGGAACTCGGTGATCATTCTGCTGTCTCTTTAAGTTTTTGTGTTTGCGATTCATCAAGAACCAACGAGCTTAAATAGATTCATCGGGATTAGATCAAGGCATAGAGGTTGAATCCTGACAAGTGGTATCAGAGCTACTGGTTCGTAGCTGGGAGATCGAGGAGAGAGAAGTCGGTACGTACCGGAGAGAAGCATCGGAGTTGTTTCGGGATCGCTGGGATTTCACCAGCTTTGTATCGGATTTGTTGAAGATTTGTGAAGGTCTTGTTCTGGATCTGCAGATATCTGTTCTTCAGAGGTAATCCCAGGTTCTTTTGGGAAAATCTG